AATTTGTATGAATGTGAATATGAAGAGCTTGTTAGTATTTTGAAAGAATATATGACCACAGAAGAATTGAAAAACTAACAAGCTGTACCCAGTAATTGATTTCTGCAAATTTTGCGTTTAAGTATTTGTATTCATTTATTTATGCAAGTACATTTTCTTTTGTGCCGTTTATCCTTTTTTTCATTTGCAATATAAACATTTCACGCATAATTTTTTTTTTTCAATGAGCAATGCAAAGCTTCATTAACGTTATGGAAAAGAGACTAGTAAGTCAGACCACAGGCGCCTGAAGTGTGGATCGATAGCCTTCCCCCCCCCCCCCTTTAATTAAAAAAAATGTAAGAGCTTATAATTTCTCAAAAATATAAAATCACATCCATATGTCGCTCTATGCAAGTAGGTTGTACTTTTTCTTACGTTAGAGAATGACCTTGTACGGTATATAATAAAAATACACAACGTACAAGGCTACCCTATTGTGTAGGAGCACTGAGTTTTACAGAACTCGGAAAATGGTGGCCGAAGAATTACATAACAAAATTTAATTTTAAAAATATTTAAAAACAAATGAAACAAGTTAAATTGATGCAAAGCATCAAATCGCCCGCAAAATTATTATTAATCAGTTTTAAGTATTTCCACAAGAAAGAGCCCCCCCCCCCCCCAAAAAAAAAAAAAAAAACGAGTAGAAAAAGTATATGAAACAATCTTTATACTTGCTGTACTTTGTGCAATTTTTGAGCTTTAATGTTCAGTGATCAATTGTTATCTATTAAAATGTTCATGAATGTCTGAATGCTGACAAAAAAGAAAACTGACAAACTTCACGTGCTGATACCCTGGATTTGTCACGTGATAATGCCGATCAGTGTTGTGAAAGATATGAATGTGTGAAGTAAAAAAAAAAAAAAAAAAAAAAAAAAAAAAAAATCATTTCACTTGCAAATTCAGTGTATTCAAAACAAAACTCAGTTCTTATTCCAATTTATTAATTATTTTAAGCACTGTGATTCATATCCGGAAACTCAATACGTTTTATTTTTACATCTTACGCACGCCCATATTGGGGAGCAGTTCATGAAACAACTGTAAAATCATTAAATTAATGAATACTTGACGAGAATGGACATAATAACAACCATTTAAACTTAGTATTAAGCAAATTTTAAAAAATTTATTCTTAACTTTTATATATGTTGTCAATAAGGAATTATTCCACCGAAGCAATGGGAAGAATAATAACTCCTCATTTACACATTCTAATACAACAACAAATAGATTGGCCGCTGCTGCGGCCGATAATAATAGTATTTCTGAAAAAATGATTGTCATCGACGTATATGTTTTTTACATCATAGACAACTGCTTCCTCAATATACAAGCAATAACATGCTCCACGTACGACCAATTTTTTAAAACGAGGCAAGCTATTAGCCAACAAGCTGATGAAACAAGGATGTCAACAGTCTCGTTTGAAATCATCATTTCGCAAGTTCTGTGGTCGATACAATGACCTTATCAGCGAATACCATCTATCATTAGGTCAAATGCTGACTGAAGTTTTTCATTCTAATTGTCAGGCCATTATTTATACACTGGAATTTCTACGGATTTTTTCTGCTTACTCGATCATGACAAGGGGGCACATGGCTGGTGTGGCCGGTTGACAGGGGATGCTTACTCTTCCATTGCACCTGATCCCGCCTATGATGTTTTTGGAGGTCCGTGTTGCTATGCTCCTAATTGTTTTAATAGACTATGAGCTTAATACTGTTTGTTATCTCTACATTTCATCTAAAACTTTATATTTCCAAGTATTCCCCAGTTTTGAGAAATTCTGTACCGGGACGGGAAATTTATCTTAACAAAAAAAATCCATAGTAAAGTATTTTCAAAGTTTTGACTATATAAATCAAAGTATTTTTACTCTGAATTTCAAATTATTATCTTTCATTTTCCCCAAGTCTTACATGCATGCAATTTTTTAATTTTAAAAGAAAGTATAACGTATTAATTCTAACATTTACTTCATTGATGTGTAATTAAAGAAATATTAAGACTCTTATAATCTTTTTTTTTAAGTTCGAGTGTGAAGTTTCATGGTAAATCAAAGTATTTACTAAAGTTAATTACACTAAACTATAGTTAACTGTAACATTTTTTTGTTAGGGTACTTTCACTGGTATTTCCCATCCAACCCTGTTCTGAATCCCGAAAAGTGAATTAAGAAATGAATCTTATAATTTTTACTTTGATCTATGTATCAAAGAAATTTGGATGGAAATTCATCAATGCGAGTAGCTGACCAGTTCAAGAAAAGCGATGGAAATGGATGGACCATGTCTTAATAATGAAAAATATCAGATATACCTAGGGTAGCCTTAAGATGGACTTCATCAGGAAAGCGAAGCAGAAGGCGACCAAAGGGAACACAGCGGCGATCCATAGAAAAAGAAATGAAAGACCGGGGATTCATCATTGAATTGGGGAATGATACAGCATATGTCCGCTGACAGAGGTAGTGGTCCCCGGTGCAAGCCTTTTGTGCTCCAAACACAAAGAGGACTAAGTCTAATATTCATGTAATATGTATTTATTTTATTTTAGTCCATATATGTCGACCGGTATATCCCTATGAATTCAAAGTAAAAGAAACCACAGGGCTTACCACACATTTTTATGCATGGTCATAAGACTTAATTAAGTACCCTTTATGTTACATGTACGACCCACTGGTTCACAAAACTCCTCTTACATTTTATGCAGTAGTCAAATCAACATTTAGAACGTGATTGGTGGTTTCCTGTAGATATACAACATGGTTTGGAATTTTCTTTTCCACACAGGATCGAAATTTTTTTTTTTTAAACAAAACTTTCTTTCCCTAACTTATGGAATTCCATATACGACAGCCAACTGCTTACTGTCAACTGCTCACTGCTTACTGCCAACTGCTAACTGCTTACTCCCAACTGCCGCACATATTTGAATAAATTTTCATATTTATATTGATATTTATGTGAATTTTCATAAAACCAGGTGCGGATCCAGTGATTTTTTCCAGTAATCCACCCCAGTAAAAAAAATCCAACCCAGAAATTTCTGGACAAGAAAAAAAAAAACAAAAACGTAAACTCCTTTCCTAAACGTGAAAAAAACCTAATTCGTGGGGGGTGGGGGTGGGTGGGGGTGGTTGACTTCTTATGCTTATACCTATGAATTTTCATACCAACTTAACACGGATCCGCGTTTTCTAGGGGGGCCGGGGGGGGGTCCAAGGTCACTTTTAGTTGGTTTAGTATATGCATTAAATAACTATACAAATTCCGAGGGGGGGGGGTCCAGACCCTCCCCCCTCCCGATCCGCGAATGTTAAACATAACTTATTTAAGAAAACAAAGAGATATAAGTCTTTGATTTGAGAAAATTTTTCACTGCAGAAATAAGTGGAAAGTGGAAATTTATTTTCAAAACATCTTCCCCCGCGAAACAACAAATCCTTTCTTTTTTTTAGTTTTATTCATTCCAAGGGTTTTGTTGCCTCACAGGGGGGGGGGGGGGGGCACGTGTTTAACGATTTAAAACAGGAAAAGTCATTTTATTACCAATTTCCGTATATGGAATTCCATACTAGCTCTTTTTTAATACAGAATTCATGTTATAAAAAAAAACTTTCTTTCAATAACTTTTTTTTTTTATTAAGGATACACCAAAGGTTTCCAAATGCCAGAATTTAATTTGCATGTAATTCTTTCATTATCAAAGATAACATGATAAAAGTATATATCATTTGAAAGCTTGTTAAATTTACTATTTAATTATCCTAATTTAAACTTAAATTAATAACTTATTCAAAAATTATTTAAATATTAATGTAATTCTTAGTGCTTAAATATTTTATAAATCAACTTTTTTGTATTTAACCCCTCAAAGTGGTCATTTTACCTCAAGGTAGATTAAAGATTGAACTTAAAAACCGTATCTCAGATTTTTGATAAATCTTCTAATTCAAAAGTTACAGTCATTTGCCCTTCAATGTTACCAATTTCTTGGCCTAATTTGACATTTCCCTCAATAATTCCAAAACTATGCTAGATATCAAAAATCTGAGATACGGTTTTGTGAACACACATTTGAGAAGCAACCCATCCAATTTTCAGAGAAATTGGTCAATAAATAAGGGAGCTGAATCCTTTGAAATAATACCACAAACTGTCTGATCTTACTTTACAGTAGAGGGCAAAAACCCATTACACAACAAAATCTGCCAAAGCTAGGAATATAAGACACCTTGGAGATTCAGCTTTGGATACCTGTCACTTAGCCATATTTCCTATGCATATTCACAAGAATGGGAGGTTCTTTTCTGTATTTAGATGCTTTTGATTAAGTAAAATAGGTTCAATTCTGAATCAGAAAGATTTCCCGGCAAAATGGCAAGAGCTAAGCTCCACCTCCTATTTTATGGTCATCAGTGATCTGTTAGATCTCTTTCTCTAAATCTAGAGTCCCTGTAGTTTAATTACTGATAACCTCTGTGTGGCTAGTGAAGAATTCCCCAAGTGGTCACAGTGATTTATTGCGTCTTTCATGAGCAGGCAGTCACAGATCAAATCAGAAGCTTCAATAACGGAACATTCACATGTGGTAGTGTTTATGTTTCATTATTGTTAAATAATTAGAAAACCATTTCATAATTACCAAGAATTTTACATGCATTATAAAGCAGTGATTAACTTCTTTTTCTTGGCCAAAAATCTCAAAATTGTTGAAAATCTTGAAAAAAGCCTTTGGTGTATCCTTAAAACAGAATTTATGCTTCATTAATTTTTTTTAGCTTTGCTTCTACATTAGTTACCTATTAACGAAGAAGAATAATTTTCAGAGGCAGACACTTATGTGAGGATATTCACTAGTAGATCTATTGTTTTATGAACTGATAATGCTAGCATGAAAATTACTTCGGGTTCGGTCAAATTTATATCGGGCTCAAGGAATTTCGCCCTTGACAAAATCCAAAACATGCCACTGCCAGTGACTCGACGTGTTATGTGACAAAGTTAGTGACCTATATTTTGCCAAAAGGTGAGGTCCTCTAAAATTGTAATTGTGCAGGTAATGCTTATGAATTTATAAGTTCCAGACAAATAGACATATTATAAACCTCAGTCTAACGTTAAAGATTGCATGATTTAAAATATTGTTCCGTAACGAGCAAGAAGGTAAACAGTGGAAACTGTGTATTTGATTTTTGAATGTAAATAATCGTTTCCTGTTAAAAAGATATGGGGCACAAAGAGAGTGCTGCGTTGTTTCGGTCAAATGCAAAATGTTTAATTGAAACTGAATGCTTCTTAAGTATGTCATTGTGCTTTGCATAACCTCAATATAAGCAGCTGATAAGTGTATCTGTTTAATAACCAGTTGACAGGAGGAAGATTTTGCTTTAAAATAAAAAAAAAAATTAAATTAAATGAATTAGCCCCTTCATGATAACTGTATGTATATTAAACAATTGCTTTTACATCATATTTCACCTAAGTACATCATGTATATCATTTTGCCGGTGTCGGGTGGTTACGTTCCGATTCTGTGTTTGACCCGCGTGGTTACAACCCAAGTGGTTTCGACCTACTCTAATGTATATCCCTACATGTGAATACCTGAGTACAGGGGTATACACTGTGCGGTAAACAAATGGATATTCGGTAGCTGTATACTGTATGGCTTCAGAGATGTACGTGTCAACAGGCACCTATATACTAACGTTAGTATATAGGTCCCTGGTGTCAATAGGTAGTTGTTTCCGTATAATGTGTAGTCAACATGCAGTGAGAAGGTTTCCTAACATTTTTTTCTACTATCGCGGAGCATGGATGTTGATGAATTTGATTTAGTAATGAATTATATTTGAACAGTTTTCCATAAAAATTAATCAAATACTTCATCAAATGTACCGTGATTACATATGCACTGTCTAAACATTAATGTAGGTTTCTCCAAATTAAATTACATACGATAATTAACATAAATATACGTGGTCGATATAAAAAAAAATGTAGACGAAAAAATAAAATGTAAAACTGTTGAAAGTGTTAATTAATTTCGTTCGGAAGCAATTAATTGTTAATTAATACGTTATATTTCCATTAGTGAACTCTTCAAAATTAGAGGCGCGTTTGGTCGTCTGACAGGGACAGCATGGCGTTGCGGATAATACAAAACATGCCAATCTCAATCCGATTTTTAATGTTAAATGTATTTGTCATTCCAATTAAAGAATGGAAGAACTAAAAGACATATGTAAGAGAGCGAGAACCCTAAATTTATCATCCATTAATAAAAAATACGACTTTTCCGAGGCATGTATATTGTATTTAGATGTAGCATACGATAAATAGATACATACGATCAACAAAATAGATATAAATTGATATCGTTGTCATTCCTACTCTTGATGTATATAAAGTCCACAACAATAAAATATTTCATTTGCATTTTCTTAGGATTTGTTCATCGACATTCAACATACTGTTTACATGTTTACGTTACGTTTGTCCCTGAAATCCCGCGAGATTTGTACATTTACCGACTTTTTCACAAAAGAGCTCACTAAGAAGTATAACTCTTCCATAGTGGAAATAGAACGTATTGCTTTGGAACGAAACCACTCGCGTCGAACATGGATTTGTGTCGAAACCACGCGGGTCGAACAAGTAGTCGGAACGTAACCACCCGCATTCATTTTGCCCTACAAAAGAGCTGAGTACCCCAGTTATCGTGAAATGATCTATTATAAAACTGAAGGATCTGCTGTCAAACAATCCCATAACTTTCAAAAATCCTTTTCAGAATGGCAGAACCACCAAGCTCAACGCTACAAGTATTTCCCAAATTTACAGAACTGAATGATCTTGTGAACGAGAAGGTAAAATTAAGGAATATATATATATATATATATATATATATATATATATATATATATATATATATATATATATATATATATATATATGTATATGTATATATTACATGATTGTAAATTGAGAATGATTCATCACGTATGATTGTATATGTTTATTTTAAGATTAGATGATTTTACTGTTATCAAGATCGCTATTTTGTTGTAGGGCTGGGATGATATATCGAGTTATCAATAATATCGATTCTGTGTGAGGACGATACGCATATAGATACATATGAAGAAATATCGAAATATTGCCAAAAAAAAATTTCGAATTATGTTATGCTTTGTTTACTTAAAAATTTTGGGTTTAATATACAGGTGACTCTCGATGGCTCGAACTCTGATCTCTCGAAGTTCTCGATCTCTCGAAGTGAACCTCCGGTCCAGTTTTTTTCCTCTATATAACTAAGCAAATTTACTTCTGATCTCTCGAACTTCCGATCTCTCGAAGTTCTCTATCTCTCGAACCAAGACCTGGGTCCCGTTACACAAATTTCATTGTTTTTTACTCTCTATCTCTCGAAATTATGATTGCGCGTGTGTACACGCCAATCAAGCGTAAAATCAATGCAGCATTGACTTACCTGGATAACAGTGAACACCTGGGGAAGGCATGGAGATGTTAATTGGGTGTTTACATAAAACTATACCTATGAGTATCCGAGTATCGATATAATAATTAATTGGTTATAATTGGTAAATCATAAACGAATTGCTTCACAACCTATTTTGACTTGACAGCGAGACAATAATTTTTAGAAAATAATTTAAGAGACGTGTCAATATTTTTCATAGATTTTAAAGTTTTATTAGAGTCTACATAATCCCAGTATGACACGTCAAACATTGCACAAGAAATCCTATCTCAAGAATACCGATTTAATACGAGAAATCTGGTGAAGGACGCGATCAAGCCCGAGGGGTAGCCACACCGACGATTGCTATTCAGGTTTCATGTAATCATGAAATGAGAACAAATAAATATGAAAGTTAAAGAGATCGTTTTATTTATTCAAAATACTATTATTGTTGTTGAAATCAAGTGAATTACCTGTAAAATACGAATGAAAACATGCAATGACATTATCAACATATACTTCCGGTGTTTAATAGTAGAACAATGATGATCGGAACTGAAAATTCCGGATTTTATTCACTTTCTATTTTCGAACCCCTCGATCTCTCGAACTTTTCTTGCGGTCCCTTGAACTTCGAGAGATCGAGAGTCACCTGTATAAAATAAATATGCTAAATATAAAAATGAATATGAAATACATAATAATTAACACCACTTAATATGTAAAATAATTTTGTTTTACAAAAGATATACAACTTCTTTGAATAAATTATTCTTATAAGTAAAGAAAAGTTTTTTGTTCCTTTCAATACAAAAAAAAAATCTTATAACCAGTTAAACATATTGTGATACATATCGTATCGTGGCTCAAATATCGTGATAAGTATCGATATAGAAAAAGCCGTATCGTCCCAGTCCTATTTTGTTGTGATGATAACCTGTATGTTATTGTAGGTCGGAGGGAAAATCCTTTACGCCACTGATGATTGGTTTGCTGTGGCCGAGAATTTGCTGAAGGTACAAGAACTCTTAATTAAGTTTGAGTACTCCAATTAGGTGTGGAAAATAAAAAACCTGTCATTTATGCAGTGAATTTACACATTCCCATACTATATAAATAATATATCATTATATGTAAATTAATATTAAAGTTAGAAATTGTATAATTACATTTTTTTGCTAAGCTGTGAACTTTTCTGATCCAAAAGTGTGTGGAATTTGTCTGTTTGTCAGTTGTCTGTTTTCTGTCATTGTAAAACATTTCACATTTTATCAATTTCTTCACCAGAACCACGGGAACCAAACTTGCACAAAGCATAATGATTTCTATGGTGCATAGAATTCAATTTTGTTCAATTGAAGAGCCATACCCATCAATAGGTATCTTGTTTTTAATATTATTTTTTTTTCATTTGAAAGTCAGAGGACCCTGTGTTTAAGCCTGGAGTTTTTACAAAGTATGGGAAATGGATGGATGGATGGGAAACCAGAAGAAAAAGAATCCCAGGGCATGATTGGTGTATCATAGAATTAGGTCAGTGTCACCAGAATTAGGTCAGTGTCACCAGAATTAGGTCAAATTTATGACAAGTCTAAAACAAATATATACAGGTACATTCAATCATGTAAATAGGGTAAGACATCATCAAAGAAAAAATTCAGTTTGATATAATCTATTAAAGTTAGAAAATTTGAAAAGTGTCTGCAATTCTTCAAGCACTAAGTCTTACATTATTTCAATAAAAACTTTGAGCTTATCAGCTTTTTTTCTAGATTTAATAAAATGATTCCTTTTAGTAATTCCTTGCAACAGATGGAGGGTTAAAATAATGTTGATAATTTAAAAGAAAAAAAAAACAAATAAAAAAATTCCACATTTATCAAGTTATCATTTATGATATCCATGGAGTAAGACTTGTTTAGGTTTAAATATTTGTTGTCACTGTTATTACAGGTGTGCCTGGTATTATAAGTGGGGTAGATGTGGACACCTCCTTCTTCACAGGGAACTACTCCCCACAAGTCTCTATCCAAGCAGCTGTCCTTTCTGGAGGTACACCATCAATCAAGCATTAAATTACATCTTTATATAAGTAGTCATAACCAGGAAGGCAGGGATCATTATCTGTATTACTTAAAAAAATATATACAAAGATTTTCCTCATTTAGATATATGTAATCATGGTAACAGTTTGATGTGTAAACACTGATAAATGTCAGCATTTATGATCCTTGGTACAGTTGCTGTAAAAATGTTCTGCTCCTTGATATAGTTGCTGTCGAGAGTATTCCAAAGAGGAAGAGTAAGATGGGGACGGCGACCACAATGGTGATGTCGGATCAGATCAAAAAGCTAAAATCTGAGGTGATGTCAAAACAGTCAAATAACTGAAATTCTAGTTGAGAAAGAATTTGTTTTAGACATTATTGACAGAAGCTCAATTTTGAAAAATAAAGCAGATATACTCAAATCAGAAGAAAATTTATGTTTGCTTAGAAATATTTTTGCAACAAGCTGAAATATTAAAGATATGAAGCCAAATTTTACAGCTTTAATCTGATCAAGCCATATCTCTAAACTTTATAAATTCATTCTAGAAACACAGAGATTAACCTATTTTAAGTAAGCTAAGTAATCAAAGTTGTGTTTAGGTATATTTTTTGCAGCCTTAATGATTGATTTTATAGGTAAGGGTACATTATTTTTCCCATTTTAGTTTGGCCTATTATTTTTAGGAATGGCAAGAACTGGTTCCACAAACTCCTCTGAAGCCAGGATACAAAACTTCATGCCACAACTTCTTTGAGGTTAACAGTAATGAGAGATGGACCCATATACGACTGAATATGTACCCTGGTATGTCTGATTTAAGAGTGCAAAGTTCACACTGTTTCAAATGTGGTAATAATAGCTTTTTTAGAGAGTTCTGTTTATCCTTTGATTTCCAGTGTTCATCTTTAACTGTTTAGAAATCCTTTGTTAGGTACTAATTGTTGTTCTGCATCCACTGAATATTTTTGATTTTCAGATGGTGGCATTGCGAGGTTGAGAGTTTATGGACGGTCTGTCCCTGACTGGTCAAAAGTGTCCAAAAATGCAGTAAGTTTTTTGAAATGATGAAAAAATAAGTAACATAACCTGCCAAGGAATGGACCATGTACTTAGTTTATTATGAATGCTTATTACTAACCTATGAAGTTTTCAGTTCTGTTAGTTTTTTTTACCTTAGTAATTAAATTAAAATTGAGTCCTGGGCTTAAGCATTGTAAGATGACTTGTGGAGGTTATCTCCCTTTCTCCAGTGAACCTAGATGTCAATTTTACTGTGACTGAAGATTTCTCTTTTCCACCATTTCAGATTATAGACCTGGTGGCAATGGAGAATGGAGGCACATGTATTGGTTATAGCAATGTCCACTTTGGTCATGCTCGTAACTTGATTCAGCCGGGAAAGGCAGAAACAATGGCCGATGGTTGGGAGACTGCTCGCAAGGTACTCTAACATTGACGATTGTTGCCAACAAATGTTTAATACCAATAAATTCTTTTGATTTCTGAGATGAAGATAGATATTTTTTACCATGATATACCAATGTAAGAATTCTTTTCCATTTGCTTGTAAATTATATATTAATAAACATACTGATATTTTGTCTTGATTTCCAGCCTGATAGACCAGCTATTCTAGAAGCTGATGAAGAGGGCATTCTTCAAGTACCAGGTATTTTTTTCCCATTAATTACAAATATTAAGGCATTTAGAAAAAAAAATAAAGAAAGAAAGCACTTTCTGAAAATAAAGTTTTATTGGCCAAGTGGTCAAGTGGGTCATGTTTCAACTAAAAGCCTTTAAAATATTGGTATCTTGAAACAGCTACTTTATGACCATGTAAAAATGATGTAATAACTTGGGACAAAGCATTTTATTTGAATTTTCTCAAATCCTCATTGCAGTAAAGTAAGGCTGAGAAATGGGTTAACATTGCATAGAACACTCAACAGACATTTTGTCCAAGAAACGGTTTCTTCCTTTCATTCACTTACAAGCACAGGGACTAAGTTAATCTACAGCTCTATAGATGTTACTGGGTTGAGTTTTGATTTTAGAATTTTGTTTCATACCTGTATTTTGTAGGAGATGACTGGTGTGTTTTTCGTCTAGGACATCCAGGAATTGTAACAAAGGTAGAGTAACTTTTCCGCTATGGGGTGTATAAAGCCTTGTAACTATGGTAACTAGTACAAAGCTGAATCATTCTAACACACTTAACTGGCTAAATTTCTGAGATTTCTGGTTTATCACACATTTATGTTTGCATTGCTTTTAAATGTCCCAGTAAAGATTACTGAAATGATGATTTCACATGTAAACAATGCCTTAAAACTTACTGACACCTTAATGTATGCATGTACATGTTTAGTGGTGGTACAATGTTTATATTTCAGCAGATTTTGTTTTTTGGTTAGTTTGAGTATGCTTAATAGTTTATTTAAGGAATAATACCTGAAGGGCTTTATGGTAAATTTGATCTCACACCAACCCGTATTTATATCCTGATAGATGTTTAAAAATGATACATTATTACTTATATTTACATTTATGACTTTTTCATATTTTATATTTTCCTGATTATAAACTTGTGAAATGTTTTATTTTTCAAACTCAATGGCACATATTTGATCCATTGATTGCATGTCGACACTTTATGACATCACTGAGAAATTACGCCGAACATTTATGACGCGAGGAACCCGTGTTTATACAGATATAGATATGCATTGCTTTTAATAGTGTTATATAAAAGAAAACATTTGCAAATGTAAATATATTATAGTATATTTTATATTTGAGTGCAGTGGTTAAATAAAATAAGTTTTTATCTTATTTCCATGTGAAATGCTAAAGCAACATATACGTCATGATATTATACAGAAAATTTGAAAAAATATTAACTTCAAATCTGTGTCTAGGCCCCTTTAAAACAGAACACATTTTCAAGGAACATTTTTGACACACACACACAAGAAAAATAAACATATCAAGAAAAAACATCATATATTATACTGTGTACTACATGTACATCATCAGTTTCAGAGTATGTGATATGGATTCAGAAAAACAATAATATGGTGATCCTTAAAGTCGGATCACATGGTCATGTGATTGCATGAAATCAACAGTAAAATTGTGTGGTATACAGTTTGGTGTATGATGTAATCACAGACTATTGAACTGTGTATCCCAGCTTTCCAGTGATATTTGGTTATTGACAGAAATAATTAAATAAATCTATGTATCGTAAAGATACATGTATATTGCGTGATTTAGGCGGATTTACAATATAGATGGCTCATTTAAGATTAAAGGATTTCCTCTGTTTATAATGAGGTGACACTAGTTTGATCTGTGAAAGAAATGTTCCCTAGAGACAAATGCTGCACTGAGGGAGTGTGACTATTAATTTTAAATGACTTGCAAAGCTCATCGTTTGTAAGGCTGTCTGAAATTAATTCTAAAGGTAACATTACCTAAAAGTTCAAAAACTTACAAGGGAAGGAGAAGAAATTTTAACACAAATAAGATTTGAAATAAAATTTGTGAATCAAAATTTTAAGAATGAGTACCGGTAACCTGTATAGGCTTATTGTTAAATGGTCTTCTTAATTAATGATTGTTTGTTAAAAAGATCGCCTCTAAGAGGGTGCCAAATTAATATAGTTTATAAAGGGCCCAAGTAATGTCTAGATGTGTGGAATGCAGTTTTAAGTTGATCAATGTGAAACCAAACCTGAGTGAATTTTTTTTAAAGTGGGATTTGTTTGGTTTTTTTTTTTCAAAATGGCAATTTTCTCTGAAGCCTACACATGCAGGTGATATTAACATAGAATTAACTTTAGACAGCCTTACAAGTCAGTTTTCAGGTGAAGTCATATATAGATGTATCCGTTCATTATTACATTATTGGAGTGTGAATCACCAAGATTATTTTCCTTGATTAAATGATCAATATTTCAGTAATAAATAAAAAGCAATTTTCTAATCATAAAAAATATTGATACTGCTGTTTTCTTTACATCAGATAATTCAATCCCATTAGGGGGAATATGAAAGTGAAAATAAATATTGAATATACTGGTCTAACAATTAATTCACCTCACTAGATAAAGAGATCGAATTCAGAACACTGAATTTATGCACTGCTAAAACTGCAAGATTATACTGTAACAAGCTATTGTTTTATGTAACAGTTAAATGGTGGAAGGTTACTTATAGCTATTGATTTAGATGTCCCTGATTAGTAAAACATGTACTATTTGAAGTATATGTACTTCCAAACATCATATGATCACATACATGTATCATCTCCCATTTTTAGGAATAAAATCTATTAAGTTGGCCAAATATGCAATGTAACTTCAGATACATTTCATGTACATGTGTATACATAAGTACATTTTACTTTCTAGGTTATTATAGACACAAACCACTTCAAGGGAAATTACCCTGACTCTTGCAGGATAGAAGGTAAGATGTCATGTTGATGATAAGGTTTTGTTTACAATATTCTGTTACCTCCACCAGTAGCGCTGGAAGGAAATGTATATCCCTCCACGTAAGTCTGTCGTCGTGTGCACTAAACATCTCAGAAAGTTACAAATGGAGATCAGTGATACTCTGGTAAAAGATGATGATTAAAAAAGGAAGGACTTATTAAATTTTGAAGATGATAATGTTGAGCTCAGCAGGATTTCTAAAGCAAAGGATCTCTTTGGAAAAACAATTGTCTAAAGGCATCTGGAAAAATAGAGACATGAAAGAAAACATTAAATTTTAAGTTAGTTTGATTTTGATGTCCATGTATCAACTTTTGTAAATCTTTGATGCAAAGTTTTATTCTGATGTATTTATAGCAGGTATTGGTTGGTCAAAATTTCCTATAGGGCATGTTTGAAAAAGTTTGGTATCTTTGGAAAGGCTCTATAGGCCTAATCACAGACTATTGTTTCCCCTGAGTGTTCCTTTTATCATATACACCAGTTGTTTACATAATACATGTACCCCAAGTAATGTAGGGGTTTCAATGAATAAGTCTCCCCCGAGACAGGATTCTAATTTGCATAATTAAGATTGTGTAAATATCCACATTTAAAGTAACAAAGGAGGTGTAATGAAGTGTCATTGTTATTACAAAAGCTAAATTCACATCAAACATTTTAGTGATAATTCTATTGAAATGAATTTCTTTTATTAAGCCTGCAACATCACAGAGGAGGAGGAAGAAGATGCAATGAAAGAGAGGAATGGGGGGCCATGGAAGACCCTCTTACCCCCCAAGAAATTGTACGCTCACCAGGAACACGAGTTTGGTCGTCATAGCATTCACAACTGTGGAGTAGTGAACCATGTCCGGCTCACCATGGCTCCGGATGGTGGCATTAGTCGTATGAGGCTGTTTGGGTATATCCAGGATCCGGTAAAATCCAAGCTTTGATGTTACTTTTATAGGTTATGCAAAAAGTCTTAGGTGTAGGGAGTTTCCAAAGTCTTAGATGTAATGGGCTAGATTAATATAAATATATGTATAGTAAAAATAAAATGAAACTATTCACTGGTAAGGGTATTTAATTTGTATTGTCATTGGCACTTTAAATCACATACCTGTTTTAAAGTACATCTACTTTCTGTTTTATGCATTTAATAAAAAAGTGTATATTATGCTTAAAGTCAAGTTAATTATGATTTTTAAGATTGTTCAAGAAGGGACTGTTTTGATATTCTCTTGGTTTCTAAATTGTACTTTTCGCCCTTTTCTATGTAAAGTAAGGAATTGATCGGTGTTGGGGATGGGGTGGGGGGTGATGAAAGATTGGGGGGGGGGAGAAGGTAACATCATTGGTGACTGTGTGAAATATTAATCTGTGGAGATCTGTAACTTCACCAGCTTGTCCTGATCACAAAGTCTTATTCAATTATTTTTATTAATTATTTGATTTTCTTTTGTACATTGTAAATGTTGAATATGATTTCAGGAGTTGTCACCAAAAATTTTTTATCACACTTTAAAGATATTTTTTATGGCTTTTCTAACAGTCAGTAAGAATTTTAAATATGTTAAATGTTTGTATATGATGTTCATGTATTTTTCTAATTTTACAATTTGATCTGTTAAAAAAAGAAAGAGGGCATAATATCGATTCCTGAAGTTTTTATTCACAGTATTGATTTTTTTTTTTTATTAAGTGTACGAAAGTGAGTCATTTTTACATGATTTTATTTCTGTAAGCAAACAGAGTATAGATATTATACAATTAACGTTTGATTCTATGGTAGGTTTTTATGTTTACAATCCATCTGTTTCTGTGAATGGTAGGGATGATAGACTTACTGGAAAAATTTTTTCGCTTTGGGTAAGACTTTTTACTTAAATCCAGGTTTTCTGTCTTGATTAAAAGCCTCTGGGAAAATATGAATTTTCTCTGTCATCCCTTTAGTTCACAGAATTCGTCATAATATTTCTGATATATTTGTATTTTGTATATGAAGTATGATTACATTTATTGTCTGTTAGTGTATTATGCAGATGTGTGAAAAATCTTGAATCTCTTTTACTCATGTTTCCAAAATGAAGAGATTAAACTTTTATAACACTGGATTTGTGTTGTGTTCTCTTTGTTTATGGTAAATCATAGAATGGACATTTCAATGCCGGTTCTAAGTGAAGATTTTTCACACATTTGATATTTCCTTCACTGTTTCTCCTGTCACCTGAGTGGTTTTTGTGGTTGTCTCCCTTTTGTGTGACTTGTATATCTACAGTGACCCAGCCCTTTCATGGTGGATCCTTTTGTTGTAGGATGATCCTGAAGGATCAGTGGTCATCGGTGATGGACTAGCAGATGACAAGGACAATGAGGAAACTCAGGGTAGGATTTACTCTGATATAAAGCCTAAATAGTGTTGCAGTGTGCAACTCAGTTTGCACTAATATGTAATTTTTGAAAAAAAAGTAAAGTCAAGTAAAAAAAAAATATGCATCGCTGTAACACTAATCAGACAAGGAAGACAACTTGTACTTAACCGGAGCATTGATACAAATATTCATTCATACAGAACAGATACAGTTGAACTTGGGTATCTCTAAAACTGATATTTTGAATATCATGGATATGTCGAAATGATCATGAAGTCCCTAACACTTATCTCTCAAGTATCTTGAACCCAGATCAATGTGGGTCTTTTTTATTTCATTGGGAGTTTTTGATGTTACATATTATTGCAAAAACTGGAAGGGAGCTGAACACATGTAACTCATTTTCTGCAAAATATGAATTTCTGACCTTGACTTCTGAATTTTTAACCTCAAAATTAATTTTTTTTGACTTCAAAATGGATGGGGGTCTTTTTAAGTCAAAGGCAGTTATGTAATGAAAGTATTAAATTGCAAAAGCTTAAAGAGAACTGAAGTGATTGCTGGAAACCAATTTATGCAATTTGTGAATTTCTGATTTAGTTTTCTGACCTAAAAAATCATAGAGTCTCGTTTAAGTCATAATAAAGTTATATAACATTTCATTGCAAAAGCTCAAACAAGTTAAAGCTAAAATTTTTATTTGGAAAACAATTTATTCTATATATGAATTGCCGACCTTGACCTCAGAATCAGTTGGGTCTTCTTTTGGATTTATGATGCAAAGTTTTGTTTGAAAAGCTCAAAGATAAAAATTTTCGTCTGGAAACCTTTTTGTGCAATGCTAGCATTTTTACTGTGAATTTCTGACCTTTGACCTTTTGAACTCAAAATCAAATGGGGTCTTTGAGTAATGGGAATTTGTGATATTAAATTTCATTGTATTGCTCAAGATTTTTTTTTAATGGATCAGGAAACGAACGCGTTACAGACAGACATAATGGTTGTCAGACAGACAGACGTATGAACAAATAGACCAAAATTAATATCTCCCATATCTAGTGAACGTGGGTGACAAAAGTCATTTAGTGGGATGGGTTTACAGTACCTGTCTTTGTTTTTTTTTTTTTGTCTTTCCAAAAATTTAATAAATACAAGTGTATAGTAATTTGTGAAAAAGAAACAACTTTAGTTCCAAGTTTGAAGATAAATATTATTCTCAGAGATTACAAGTCAATTTTATGGATTTTGCAATTGCTAGAGCCATTGATTATCTTAACAAATCTTTTTTATTTAAAGGGTAATTATGATATATTTTTTCCCCTCAGAAAACGACGAATCGCCAAAGAAGAGAAAGAAAACGACCAAGTAGGAAGTGGTTGAGATAAAAAACATAGCGATTTATACTTCCGGTCAATGTTTTCAGTATTAGAGGCTGTTTTACTCTGCCATAATAGCTAAGATCTCGAATCAACGAAGTATTCATAGTATTTTTTGTTAGTGATATTATTTTTATACGTATTTTTGTGACAAGTTGGGCATCGCATATCTGTTGTATTTTAAAGGTCGGTATTCATCATAAAATAATGTTTAGAATGCATTTTCCTGCCACTGCCATAACTTAAAATAACATGGCTATATTTTTTTCTGTTTTGGCATGTTTTCTTCAAGTACGAGACAAAGTATTTTTAACCATATACATATGTACGTTTTGTTTTATAATTTGAATATTTTACTTAATATATGGTGTGCAGAATTATGATATCTAGAATATTTATCAGTTTCCTGGTGCTGCTAGTGATGTACCCGTATTATTGCTAACTATGAGCTCCGGCTTCTTATTATCAAATAGAGTAACCTGCTTGAGGGAGTTGTTATGCTTTATTATGAAGAACTGTATTATATTTTATTATGAACGAAGCTGAATAATATACAAGGTTATTTTTATATGAAATAAATATTTTATTAACCAGATTATCCTGATGTATGTACATTTTTTAGAAGAAATTGCGAAAATAAAAAGGAAATTAACTGAAAACGAACTACTTTTGACGGTCCATCTTTTTATGCAAAGTGGCTCACAAGTATTAAAATGTCGCCCCTGCAAAGTATATAGGTATGATAAAAAAAAAAAAGTGAAAATATGGTGACGTTATATTTTTCACTTCATTTAAATACAAAATTTCAAATAAGATATTTTTTTTTAAATCTGACAGTTCACGACTTAACTGTGTGTACGAAAGCTTTCCTTTATTTAAATGGTACAACTTTATGGTTGTTCAAAGTAAATATCCTGGATACCATGGTTGGCAAAACAGCATTTAATTATGTTTGACGCAAGAATGTAAAACAAATACATGTATATTCATAAAAATATATTTTTTTTCTCGAGAGCAAGACAAGTTTATTCTGTCACAATCTTTTTAGAATGCAGTTTAAGGCACCAGAGCCACTATAGGATCCAGTCTATCCTCGAGCTTATGGAAAATAGTTTTTGTCACTACACTACCACTGATTTTAAAACATTTCAACTTTGATACCAAAAATTCATGTTTAGGGAAATCTAATGGGTAACTTGTAGTCTGAGTGTAATCCCCCCTTCAATTGAATGTTTGGATTGAAATCAATAGATGGATAAGTTTCCAGCATCAACTCTAAATTTAAGAAAACTTTTCTGATGCTAGACATCCTTCTGGAGAATATCGTTAAGGAAGTCACGTGACTTTAAGCTTACAGGCCACACTTTCAATGGAATTGTATTAAAATGCATAAAAATCATTGTATTTTATCTAGCAAACAAAGAACACATTTAATGACACCGATTTATTTCAACTCTAGGAGAGTCAGTTCTTTTAAAAATCATCTAAAATCAACATATTCATGTTCACATGTAAGTTGAAAATTAAAGAAAGAATCGAGTCCTTTTTCTGTTGTTTTTCATTGTTGTTGATTTTATGCCATTCTTTAAAAAAAAAACTTATATACCTTTGTCTTCGCAATACCTTAAATTGTACACAAATATGTAAATGTATTAATGAAATAATGATCATAATTTATGAAGCCTTCAGTACATGTGCATATATTTCATTTTGTTGAGGTACAAAAACTCTCACGATTCACAGTCTCTTGCTCTATAGATAAGCTTTTCTCTGTATTCCGTGGTCCTGATTATCTGAGGTGTACCATTTGTTAAAACGTTTTGTAAATGTTGGTAAATACGACGGCTTTTACCCTTTGATCAATTCTGTGTTTGGCATTTGCTTGTTAAAGCAAAACACTAAATCACTGAAAAGCGATCTACAAGCGAAAAAAGTCTCCGTCACGGCATTACATTGCTTTCTGTAATCGCGTTCGCAATCATGCAACTAATATCTGTTCATTTCTTCATTCAACATGCAATTTATTTTGCAGTAGTAAACAGCGTGGGTATTTATTATATTGAGATATCATTTTGCGATAAACAGCCCGTGTTTCTTCACTGACTGCTTTTGACCCCATCTAATAGAGCCTAGTTTCTGCCAAGTCTGGCTTTATCATTCTTGGGGTCGTTTAGATGTTCCAAGCACCTGCTCCACACTGGCATCCGACACTTGATTTGTAATTTTTGTTCTTATTTTAAAACATCTACAGATAGATATGTATTGAAGAGGGAATTTTATGACAGAGATAAGACAAATGATTAGTTATAACCATAGCAACTGATGATTGATTGCTGTTTCCAGGGTTTGGCGCGAACAAACAACATTATGGGAAACGTTTTCCTCGAATTTGTGTTTCTTAATGACGCATGTGAACAGCAAAAATTCTCCTAATTGTTTAAACAAAGTCTGTCCATCAAGTATGATACATGTAACCATATTACCTTAAGAACATAGTTATATTTTGATATTCACGTGCAGAAGGATTCGTCCTTAAAGGGATTCTTTCGTTGATAATTAATGTAAGACGGAAAATGTAACTCATTTACATATAATATTAAAATGTTTTATTTAGCAATGAAATATATGATGCCAGTGTGAAAATATAGACTGTGCGTAAAAACCGTGGATAGATATCAATTCAGGGTCCAAACAAAAAGTAATGTTAAAGTCTTCTAAAATCTAGAAGAAAGGAACATGGAGATAACGAACAGTAATCAAGCTCAAAAGTCCATTAAAAAAATACAAATTGGGAGCAGAGCAAACTATCATTGTACGAAAGATTTAAAAAAAAAATACAAAGCAAAAAGTCATATTGTAATTTGATAAGGTAAATTTTATTCACAAACATTTAAAATACTAGAAAATAATATCAATATGTAGGTACATGTACATATATTGAACGATTGCACTTCCTTCCTTAATTTAACAAAATACTTGTATTTGCAATTCTGACCTAGAAATTTACACCAGGAAAATTGATGACACATTGATGGAAACTATATGATTGTTCTTTTTCACATTTTGATCTTGCTTCAGGAATATACTATGACCTTTTTTTTTTTTTTTTTTTTTTCTTATGATTTGCGGATTACAAATTCAATCTACTGTACATTGAGAGAACAAATTTGCTCAAATCAAGAATTAAAGTAAGATTACCAATTGTGCTTCATTTGGATAAAAACGAATCATGAATCTGCACTTGGTATACAATACAGTCCCTGTGCCAGACAGAGTGATTGTCTCTCTGTACAGGACGTGAACCCCTTCTAATGACACGTCTCCGTGATAAAATGTAATACGCTCCAAAACGAGCGTGTCTTTTGCATCCAATTTGTAACGCCAGCTACATTTTTGTCTCTATTCTGTCTAATCATTTGAGGACAAACCAGAGAGTTCATTGGTTCTGCTACATGCCATGTAACAACAACATGATGTATTGCTCTTGGACTGTTATTAGAAGAATTTCTGGACATCTTTGTTTTGCTGTCTAACAAACACAGACAACAATTGATTAAAAATCTGACAGTCATTGTTTCTTTCATATCGGATGCTGGAATCATGCAAGCTATTAAAATCTTTATTTTTGCTGTATTCTAATATAACTTGTCTTTTATTTGTCAAGATTTTTTTCAACCAATTTATTTATCCCAAAAATCGTCCCTTTTTAAATTAGTATTGGTATGTCTAGATCTTTGACTTCCAGGTGTACGCATTTCTTGTATTAAAGGTAGCGGATAACAATTTTCCTGTAGGATACTAACATCATATTCAGATCCTTTGTGATACTAGAATGTTATTCTTGAGGACCTCCATCATATATTTTTCATTATTAAAAAAAATGCGGACCTTCATGTATTCACCTCCTGATAGACAACTTCCGCTTTTCCATATTTTTCTTTGACCCCCCCCCCCCCAAAGAGAAAAAAATAAGGAGCTGAAAAATATTTTTAATATATTTACAATAGTCTTCAATGAATACACTACTAGTATTTGATATTGTATACTAGTCATCTTCAATCAAAGCAATATTTGATAATGTACACATAGCCTTCATTCCATGCAAAATTTGATGTACATATTTTCTATCGATGTAAAAATTTGATATTGTTCTTTGTATTAAAAAAAATGATATTGCACATTTGAATGTATTCAATCAAAGCAATATATCTAACATTGTATACAGTCTTCAATCAATGCAATATTTCTATAGTCTTCAATCAATGATTGTACAAAATCTTGTTTATAAATTAAATGTAATTTAATAGTGTCTTCAGTAGGATTTTTATATTGATTGTAATTACAACAACTTTTTTTTTGCCTTTTTAACGATTTAAATACTCTAATTATTTACATAATGAAATATTGTTTAAATTAAAATAAAATAAATTAACACTTACAACTGTGTAATAGATTGGTTTGGTTTGAACATATTTTATTGTCTATAAACTTTACAACTGGGATTGGGCAAAAGTTCTTAAAACTTAATACGCCCTCTCCCTACATATGAATTATACCAAACATATTTACATATATGGGTTTCAGCTTAAAATGAATAAAATACAGAAAAACATAATAATCAGAGAAATATTATACAATACACAAGCTGTATAGAATTTGCAAGAAGTAATTATTGCATCAACCAAAACGACCTGACTCTTTAATAAATGTTTGTACAATAGAAAATAGGTATTCATTTTCAACATCGTTTAACGTTTCATCTTCCCAGAGTAATGTATGAGTATCGACAGTATGTAATTTTCCCATTCGCAGAAATTCATCGAAAATAGATTTTTCAAGCGAATGTCGGATTTCTCTTCCATTTCCGGTCCATTTAAAACATTTAAAATCCAATTTGAATGAATGAATGACTGTTAAAGAAGGTGACAAAGAAAGAACGACTGGTTTGAAAGGATAATTAAAATCTAATACAGGTAAATTCACTTTATTGACTACAAAATTGAATTGAGTTAAAAAAAAATAATGACAGAAAAGTCAAAAAGTAGACAAATGTTCAGAAAGTTAGCTCCTACACAATTAATTAGAGGCGGTCAGTCAAAATGAGCCTGAAAGATTTTTTTCTTAAATACATGTACATCTTTTTCAGGGAAGTAAACCTTTGATAGTGCATGGGACAGTAATTCCTACATTACAATCATTGCTGGTTCAATCCTTACTTATTTGAAGTGATTTTTGTCTCCATTTATAATGAAAAATGTTTTGCATATTATTATTCCTTGTTTACTTGAAGAAATTTAAATTCTTTTACTTTTTTTTGCATTTTATCGATATATTAAATTCCATATTGTTAATGGTTGCATAACAAACATGTAAACACGAGCATAATTTATTAAAACATAGGTAAATTGTATAGGATTTTATCTTCCAGGGTAAGAAATTTTATTTCTTCATTTCATTAACACGTGATGTTATTTTTAAAAAAGAATACTTTTATGTATATAAAGTTAAAAAAAATGTTTTTGTTGTTTGTTCTATTTATTAAGTTATTTATTGGTTTGTTTTGTTTTGTTTTTTTTTATCCACAGATATTGTTAA